GAGGGATATACGTGAACACGCAGAAGAATGTCTTGTTTGAGGTGTCGCCGAAGACGCGGTTGCCGAGGACGTTTAAGCGGTTTTGCGGACTCGTGGCGCAGTTGTTGCAAAAATTGAGCGTGCGCTCGAGCAACGGACCGGAGAAGTTGATGCGGGTGGTGAAGCAGCCGGTGACGCGATACTTTCCGGCGGGAGCGAGGCGGGTTGGGTTCTCGTTCAGCGCGCCCGAGGTGAAGCGGTTGCCGGAGTACGTGCGGGCGCTGCCGGAGGACGCGACGGTGGTGTTCACCGTGGGCGCGATGGCGCACGGAAAGGTGGACGTGGCGTACACGGATGATTTTATCTCCGTGTCAAAGTATCCACTGAGCGCGGCGTGTTGTTTGGGGAGAATATGTAACGCGTTGGAGCTCAAGCACGACATCGTGTGAAGGACTATCGAGGAGGTGTAACATTTTGGGGGTCGGAGCGCGAGGAGTAGCGATCAGTTGTAAGCAATGAAGAGATTTTAGATGGAACAGATACGAATTCTAAGACGCTCGATTGCGGAAAACTCGTTACCAATACGTCCAGCGGTCGAGCCAGCCCTTCGGGTTGCGACGAATGAACGCCTTGCGAAGCTCGTCGTAGACGAAGATGAGAATGGACCACGGGACGCCGGCAAACCAGTGCAGAATGTGCAACGGACGCGTGCCGAACACCTTGTTGGCAAACGGAGTGTAGCACAGCGTCGCGCCGAGAACGGTCTCGAAGATGAGACCAAAGTTCATGAAGTCATTGCCCATACCTTGTTCGAAGATGGACAACTTACGCGTCTTCGCGATTAACAAATCGGCCCACTGGACGATGATGATCGTGATGAAGTACGCCGTTTGCGCGTACTCGAGCGCGGCCTTTTGGTAGTCCATGTTCGGAAGCGATTGAGGAGCGCCGTTCCACCAGTAGTACGCACCCTTCGGCGCGATCGAACGGCCGTCGACGTATCCACGAGAGAAACCCCAGGTGCTGTTCGCATTTGCGTGTCCACCGGCGTCGCACATGTAGGCGAACGCGGTGCTTTCCACGGTGGAGATGGAGGCCGAGTTGTCCGCGCGGGACGAGCAGCCACGGTTGCACGTGTAGCCCTCACCGCGGAATCCATTCTCATCGAACTCAATGAAAGGATCAACAGCGAAGTTACTGTCGCTGGCTAGGAACGCCGAGGCCGTTCCGTGTGCGGAAGTGAGAGGGTTACCCGGCACGTAGGCGCGCGGGATGGCGCATCCGCCAACGCACACGTCCTTCATGGGTCCCTCTTTGCTGTCGGCGCAGCCGAAACCGCACTTTTTCGGTCGGAAGTATTGGTTCCCAGTGCTTGAATCGACAGCGGTCTCGCTCGTGAGGGTGCAGAGAAGTTGGCTGTCAAGGAACTCCAAGCCGTTGCCGACCAAGATGGACGGCGTGTACCCGTAGTCGTTGAGGACGAGCATGTAGGTGAAGAAACCGGCGAGCGCCTGAATTATACCAATCTGGAAGTAGGCGAATGAAATCAATCGGAAGTTGACGAGACGATCCTTCTTCGAGTCACGCGGCGGACGGTCCATGATGTCGGCTTCCTTTTCTTCATACGCCATGGAGATGGCCGGAACCATGTCGGTGCCGAGATCGACGCACAAAATGAGCACCGTGCTGAGCGGCAACGGAATCTTCATCGTGATGTAGATCAAGAACGGAGCGATTTCCGGAATGTTGGAAGAGAGCGTGTACGCAATCGACTTCTTAAGGTTATCGAAGATGAGACGTCCTTCTTCGACGCCGTTGACGATGGAGGCAAAGTTGTCGTCCATCAGGATCATGTCGGCGGCTTCCTTCGAGACATCCTTACCAGCGATACCCATCGCAACGCCGATGTCTCCCTTCTTGAGAGCTGGAGCGTCGTTCACACCGTCACCGGTGACGGCAACGATTTCACCTCGGCGTTGACAGTTTTCGACAATCAAAAGCTTGTGCGCCGGAGACACACGAGCCCAGACGATTTGCTTGTGATCGAGAGCCCAGTCCCACTTCTTGCGTTGTTCAACTTGGTCTTCAATCTCGGTCCAAGCGCGAATGTCATCACCCTTAACGACGATAGCGCTACCATTGTCGAGATTTTCTTGGGTAATAATATTCACTTGCTTGGCGATGGCAGCCGCTGTGATCGGGTGATCACCAGTGACCATGTAAACCTTGATGCGAGCGCGGTTACACTTGGTCACGGCTTCCGGAACACCTTCGCGAGGCGGATCGATGAGAGACAGCAGACCGACGAACGTGAGGTCGTCGATCGGAAAATTCGGCTTGGGCTTGGCGGTGAATTTGAAGTCATCCTTGAAGCCGCTCAGTTCCTTGAAGGCGAAGCCGAGAACGCGCTCACCGCGCCCGCCGAGGCCTTCGTACGCGGTGGTGTACGTGTTCTCAAAGTCAGACGTCTTGGAAGACGTCTTACCGTTGGCGAAATAAGACGTGCACTTGGCCAACACGCGCTCCGGCGCGCCCTTGAGCACGAGAAGCGGCGGTTTGCCGCCCGGTTGCTTGTGGATGGAGAGCTGCCACTTGTTCGTCGAGTTGAACTTGATTTCGAACAACTTCGGGTACGCGGCGCGCGTTTCAAGGGCATCGTTGAGCGGTTGAACGAGCTTGAGCAAGCCTTGTTCAGACGCGTCACCGGAGGCCGGCTGCTTGAGGATATTGAACGTCGGATTCATCATCTCAGCCTTGAGGTCGATGTACGAACCGTCTTCGTTCTTCGTCAAGTACTCAGCGTTGTTACACAACGTGGCAACTTGAAGAAGTCGTTGGAACGCCTCAGACTTGGTGTCGTAGAATTTCTCGCCGTCGGCGGTCATACCGGGCTCAGAGATAACCTTGAGATCCGGAATATTTTTACCAGCCGGGCAGAAGACAACTTCGTTGTCGTACCATGCGTGCACCACGGTCATGCGGTTTTGCGTGAGCGTACCCGTCTTGTCTGAAGCAATTACGGTTGTCGAACCGAGAGTCTCGACAGCCTCGAGGTTCTTCACGAGCACGTTCTTGGCGTGCATGCGCTTCGCGGTGAGGGCCAAAGACACGGTCACTGTGGCGAGAAGACCTTCCGGCACGTTGGCGACGATGATACCGATCATGAAGACGACGTTTTGGATGATCTCAGTGCCGTTGGTGAGACCGACAATGAAGAAAACAACACCGAGGGTGATGGCGACGATGGAAATGAGCTGAATGAACTTCTTGATCTCCTTGGCGATCGGAGAGTCCTCGGAGCTGGTTTCTGTGGCAAGACCAGCGATTTGGCCCATAACGGTGCGGTCGCCGCTACCGATGACGACGCCGCGACCAGAGCCAGAGTTGATGATGGTCGTGTAGAAGCACAAGTTGACGGACTCGAGCGGCTGAGTAACGAGTTCACCGGTGGCGGTGCGCGCGAGCTCCGGGGAGCGATCTTGCGGCTCGGATTCACCGGTTAACGAAGAGTTGTCAACCTTGAGTTCGTTGGACTTCATGACGCGAATATCCGCCGGGACTTGATCACCATCGTTGAGTTCGACGACATCACCCGGAACGAGTTCCCAGGCATCGAGAACGACAGCCTTACCGTCGCGGATAACCTTACACTTCTTCGGGATCATGTTTTTGAAACCCTCCATGATGGCTTCGGACTTGGCCTCTTGCAAGTAGGAGAACGTCGCCGTGATGATGACGACTGTGAAGAGGACGACACCGAGGTAGAGATTGGTTGCATCCTTCTCAGTATCGATGCCGTAACCAACGAAGCAAAGGGCACCACCACCGAGAAGCAAGAGCGCGAAGAAGTTCGCGAACTGCATCAAGAATTTGATGTACCACGGCGTCAACTCGGGCGGCGTCAGGCGATTCTCGCCATACTTGGCCCGGTTCACGAGCACTTGTTCCGCGCTCAGACCCTTTTCGAGCGTGCACCCAAAGTGCTCGTACAATTTATCCGCCTCCCACGTGTGTTCGACGAAGTCGACATCCTTACGGAGCGCAGCGGCGCGTTCCGCCTTGGCCTCCGCCTTGGATTTAGACATCTCACAATCCCCGGTTGTTTCACTCCACGCGCCGCTTCCCGCGCGATCCAACCTGCGAGTTCGACGAAATCGCACAATGTCAGTTTTCACGCATTCACTCTCCCGTCCTCCGTCCCTCCATCGCCTCGCCCGAGGCGTCGCGCGTCGACGCGCGTCCGCCCGCAACCCCGATCGACGCGCGCGCGCCGTCAGCCGTCCCACCCGCCCCCCACGCGTCACCTCCCCTCCCACGCGCGCGCGAACGATCGCACGTAAACCCTCCCCACG